GTGAAAATAAAATAAACAATAAAAGGTGAATCAAATGGACCATTACGGCAAGGCTGGGATGGTCAATTTGGTAAAGTAAATCCGTTGGGCATCTTTCTTTGCCTTTAGACAACAATTCTGATGCAAAAGAGCCAAACGGGACAGGCAAAAAGAAAAGCTACAAGGGTGCTTTTGTAGCCCTGCAGTCGGCTTGCTCTCGCTCTATGGCTGCTGTATGCAGAGTTAATTCAATCAAACGATATACAAATGTGTGCAATATGATCCAGAAACGTAAAGTTGCCTCTACAAATGTGTACAATGAGTGTTACAGTTGAAGCTTTGACCGCACCCGCTTCCATTTACAAACAGGTGAAAGTCGCCTGAGACCGAATGATCACATGACATGCCCAGGTGACTTTCTGTGACTTTGAATGTTCCTTACCTGGAACTTATCTTGAATATCGTGTTTCTCCTATTTATTGACATTGTGTTTTTTTGTTATTTTTTTTATTTTTTATTTCAGAACAGTGAAGTACAATTCAACCATAAACAAGTCAGCTACTGTTGTCTTCAAATTGTTAGTTTTTAACCATTATTGTGTAATGAAAATTACTGTAACTTAAGGCAAAATAAGCAAAAAACACAATGCAGTGCAACACTGTTTTGTTTTCTTTTAGACCAAATCCCTTATACAGTTACAGACTGTGATGATGAGCAACCTTCAAAATAAAAGGTTTCCCCAGGCCTCACGTGTGAAAGGACCAGGTAATAATGTAATGTTTAGTGTGAGTGTGTGAGAACAGGAACCTTTGTGTGTAGTCGTTAATTTTTTAAACATTTCTCTAAACAGCCTCGACCGCTCTGCAGTCTGCCCCCCAACCCACTACTAGCAACCATCATGATGCCCCGGCCAGCTACCGGCTGCTTTCGCCAACCTACACAGCTATGCAACCTCCCCAGCAAATAGTCTGCGTTCAGTGCCTTCTCTAATGACGGTATGCTTTGAAACAATGAGCTGCATCACAATTTCATTGTAATCTTAACTTCAAAACACTAATTTATGCTGCTGAGTATCATCATATTTTGCTTTTTTAGATTCCAGAGAGAGGCAAGTTCTAAAAAGTTGTACTTTGACATTTTACATAGGATTTCATTTATATGTCAAAGGCTAACTTGTAAACAGTTTTAACAGATTGAACTACATAAACCTGAATGCAAAATGTGAAGCCATCACTTATGGGATATAATCCTGCAGCACCGAACCTGTCACAGCGGGACTGAACGGACTCACGCTCAGGCTCTAGGTCTTGAAAGCACAAGAGTCTTTATTACAATACACCAGGTGATCTATTTACAAAGGTGAGGGGAAAGCCGGGCTCCGGGGGTCCACACACGAACGGGAAAGACGCCGAAAGTCACACACACACTCCGTCCACTCCTCACGCTCCTCTTCACACTCCAATCACTCGGACAGGGGTGGGTCCAGGGGATCTGTACAGAGACACGAAGGGATTATAAAGGCAAATCGCTGAGAAAACACTCTAGAGGTAACTGAGCAGGGGTTACACTGACGAGGGTCGGCAACGGTCCAGCGAGGAGAAACACAGCTGCCATCTTATGAAGGAGCTGGATCACTCTCGTGATGAGCCACAGGTGCGTGATCGCGACCAGGTGCGTGGGCCAAGGGCAGGAGCCCACAGGTGAGCTCCGCCCAGGCAGAGGGAGGAGGGAAAGAGGGGAAGGGAGAGAGCAGGAGCAAAAACAGAAGATAAAACACATATGTTGCCATACTGAGCCAACCAGGTAGGTACAGGGACATGCTGGGGTATTGCCTCTGGATCAGCCTTTGCACAACATAGATGAGATGAAGTGCAATGAGCGGAGGCAAATAAAGCAATGGTAAGTTCTTAAAGGGACTTTTGTAGCCCTGAACTTTAGAAATTGTCAAATTCGGTTAAACTGCTTAAAAATGTCCCTCTCCTGCATGTTCTGATTGAATATACAACAGCAGGCTATTGTTGGAAGATCCAACAAACAGGAATAGAAATACATTTCACTGCCAGTAGTTTGGTTTATTCATTTTATCTCTAGAAAATTAGGCTTTGAGCTTTTCAGCTAATGGCTCTTTGAGAATCAAAGTGAGGCAGCAGTTTGCTGGTGACTTTCATATTAATCAGCCTAGTAGTTTAGATGCTTTCTCCCTGCTGAAGACAATTGACAAGAGGTTATTCATATTTAAGCTCTAATTGGTTTTTTTTGTTTTGTTTTTTTCATTCTTTTTGTGTTTGTTTGTGTCGTAGACCAGCGGTCCCCAACCCCCGGGCCTCGGACCGGTAACGGTCCGTGAGTCGTTTGGTACCGGGCCGTGGTTTTATGGTTTTATGCATGGATGCATGGTTTTAAGAGGAATATACACAAACTACAGTTCACATTTATGTGTTGACAGTTAATATGATTTTGATCTTTGAGAAGTTAAAGTAAACCTGAATGACTCTACTGATAAAGTAAGAACATCATCCACATTTAAAATGAACATATGCGTGTGTCACAGGCTCAGCTGGTTGGACTGAACCAGAGTCTGCTGTAGCTGTGGGACTGACTGTCCCCAGATCAGATAACAGTGCATGAAGAATAATCACGTATACCAAACAATTATTAATAATTGGAAGCTCTCTGTGAGGACAAACAAGGAGAAAGAATTTAGCTTCTGAAAATAAAAAGTCAGTGACGGCACATGTGTAGGTCTGACTGTGGCTCCTGTATTTACTGTAAATAACATTTTCTGGATTATTAGTTTAGCATTTGTTTTAAATTCTTGTGTTTCTTATTAAAGTGTAAAAATGATCATATATAATTTGACTGCTGCTGTTTTGTGTTTCAGCCAAAGAATGAAGCTGTCAGACAAATGTGTGTCTAAGCTGAAAAATCCATGAATGAACCAAGGACCTCCACCCTGCACCAGACTGAAGAAGGTGAAGCTAGAAACATCTTGACCCTGTGGTCAGGACCAGCCCAGTGCCAGGCTTCAGATGCAGGATCTAAATTCAGGACCACAAGATGAAGCACTGGGAGAAGTCCTGACTCCACCCCTCACTCTCAGGACTTCATCCAGTATTTCAGCTTTCAGTATCAACTAAGTCTCCCTACTGGAGGAGCCTCTGGTCTCCATCTCCAAGTAATTCACTTCCATCAGACTTTTGAAGGGAAATTGTTCCCCTCCAGGTAACACCTCAAGAATATTGGAGCCTCACCTCCTCCACAGCATACTGCTCCACCTCACCCTCCACCCACAGCTGGCTGTTCATGACAGCACAGCTGATCCAACCTGTCTTCTCTCCTTCTTTTTTTTTTTTTTTTTTGGTGAAAAATGTGAAATATTTCACTGTTATTTTTATTGTCTTTTATTTATTTATTTATTTATTTATTTTATTTTTATTTATTTATTTATTTTATTTATTTAATATGTCAGCTGACATATTCACACAGTGACTTTGTTTAAACAACTGAAACAACAAAACGATTAAAACAGGTATTCAGTGATTTGTAAAACCAGTAAAAATAATAATAATAAAAATAAAAATGTTAAACGTAAACATACATTTGTTATGATCCAAAAAAGCCTAACATCCTTTGACTAAAATTAAATTAATCGAATACTGACCCAAACATGTTAAATAGTTTGGGTCAATACATTGCTGGGCTTGTTCAGCATTTACTGTCACAGAGGAACATAAATCTTTAAGTGAAAAAATGATAAAAACTGGTAATTTGAAAAAGATAGATTAAAAATTATTAAAACAATTTAAAGCTTGCTTTTGTTTAATAAAGGGAACAGAAATTGTGTGAAAAATGTCACCTTATTGGGAATAGCAACACAAATGGTTGTTTTCCACAAGGTTAGCGAAGCTCCACCACGTCTATTGCATACAAATCTAAAAGAAGAAAAAAAACAAATATAATATGATTTACTAAAAGGAAGACTTTTGATTTCATAAATAAGATAAGTGTTACCTTTAAATATTTGTGGGAAAAATCTGATGCTACCCCAAGAATACAAAGCCACAGTGGAAACGATGACAGGCTTGCAGCCCTCTGTCTTCCTGGAGTGAGGTGCCTGATCAGTAGCAGTGAGTTGACAGAAGTCAGTGTCTGTAAGAGTGGCCAAACGCTGATACTCTGTCCACTTGCGTAGAGTCTAAGAAGCTGGAATGCAGGCACACTGGACGAGCTTGTTCTGAAAACAACAACAACAACAAAAAAAAACATTTTATTTGTGTTAAGGCCTAAAAACTACAAATAAGTTATACAATGAACAATGCTGAAATACCTTATAGGTGCTGCAGGCCACATAACCAGAATCCAGAGCAATCTCACACTCACATGATGGTGAGGAAAGACATGAGCTCTGCAGTGAGGTTTGAATGTCCCAGTTGGGACACTGAAGAACTCAGAAGAAAGCAATACCTGCACCGAGAGACAGAGTAGAAAAAGCATAGACTAAACAGGATTTAAATTAATTAATTGGATTAAAAACACTGACATTTTTTATCAAAGATAAAGAATCATACCTCTCTCTGCTCTGAGGATCACTGAGCATCTCTGACAGGAAGTACAGTTTCCTCAGTATGAGTCATCCTTGATGGTCTCAGAGGTGTGGACTGTGGCAGCATGATGATGGTCTCCAGATCAGGCAGGAGGTCAGGTGATGGGTGTGTCATCTTCTCCATTGAAGACACACTGGTATGGCAGTTCATAAAACAGCAGTCTCTGTGTGGCATGTAGTTATATGTGCAGTCCAGCACTGATGGATCAGGTTTGGCTCAGCAGTTCATGAAGATGGTGTTAAGATGTTGTTGTTTCAGCTGAGGATGGTGAAGTTTGAAGGTTTTGCCACAAAGGAGACTGTGCCCTGTCTGAAGAAAATACATCTCAGTACTCTGTTTATAGTAACCATTGTCCTTGATGTAAGTATGTAAGAAAAAATTGTGTATGTTTCTGTTCTGTGTCCTGTGTACTGTTTGTTTGTATATTTAATTCAATTCAATTCAGTTTTATTCATATAGCGCCAAATCACAACAACAGTCACCTCAAGGCGCTTTATATTGTACAGTAGATACATACGACTCACTCACCCCTCCCTCCCAGCTCTCAGCTGCTGAAACTCAGAGCGTGTTACCGTGGAAGAGTCGCTCCTTCACCTTTGAAGTCTGATAGTCCGACTGACGCAGTATAACATTCAGTCTACACTTTGATTCAGAATCAGAATCAGACTTTATTTATCCCCAAGGGGCAATTAACATACAACAGAGCAGCATAACGTTGAAGATAAGGACAGGGCACTAACAGGCAATAAGAGTGAGATAAGAGTGTGGTACGCTGGAGCCACTATCAGGGACAAACAGAGACTGCAGCGTGTTGTGCGCTCTGCTGAGAAGGTGATTGGCTGCAGACTCCCATCTCTGCAGGACCTGTACACCTCCAGGACACTGCGGCGTGCAGCTCGGATCTCAGCTGACCCTTCTCACCCTGGACACAGTCTGTTTGACCTGCTCCCCTCAGGCAGGAGGCTCCGGTCCATTCGCACCAGAACCTCTCGCCATAAGAACAGTTTCTTCCCCTCTGCTGTTGGACACATGAACAATAACCATATGACTGTTCCCACCACTAACACATGACCCTACGCTGTGTCACTGCATCATTCCATGTTTGGCACTGATCACCACCTGCACTCATGTATATATCTTTCTACTAGCACTATATTTTAATTCTTATTTTTATTTCATGTCTATTTTAAGCGTAATTTATGACAGTATGTTTGCACTGAAGCACCGCAGCAATTTCCTAATGTTGTAAACCTGCTCAACATTTGGCAATAAAACCCTTTCTGATTCTGATTTCTGATAATAAATACACAGAATATATACTATAAACACAGTTTTAAAATTAAAGTAACTTAAAGGTGAATAAAGTGAGTAAAAGTGAATAAAGTGTGCAGTATAAGAAGAGGCAGATAGTTTATGTTTCTGGTGTGGGAAATGTTCTTATCGGCTGGAGTTAAAAAGCAGAGTGGCTTTGGGGACAAAGGTGGCGCTCCTCCTCCTCTCAGTCCTGCAGGAAATGCAGCGGAGGCGTCGCCCAGAGGGGAGCATTGAAATGAAAATGGATTGGATTTATATAGCGCTTTTCAAGGCACCCAAAGCGCTTTACAATGCCACTATTCATTCACTCTCACATTCACACACTGGTGGAGGCAGCTACAGTTGTAGCCACAGCTGCCCTGGGGCAGACTGACAGAAGCGAGGCTGCCATATCGCGCCATCGGCCCCTCTGGCCAACACCAGTAGGCGGTAGGGTAAAGTGTCTTGCCCAAGGACACAACGACCAGGACAGAGAGCCCGGGGATCGAACCGGCGACCTTCCGGTTACAGATACGCTTCCCAACCCCCTGAGCCACGGTTGCCCCTATAAATGCGGGGATGAAGAATGTGAGAGGGGTCGTTGATGATTTTGGCTGCCTGTCTGAGGCCTGTTGGCTGAAAACCTGCCAGAGTTCTGACAGGCCAATGACTGTAGAGCACACTGATGCAGTGGCTGCAGTCTGTTCCTGTATGAAGGCTGAGGGAGTGGAACCAGCAGCTGATGGAGAAGGTCATGATGCTTTCCAGGAAGGCGTAGTAAAAAGTCATCATGATGGGTGTGCTGACTCCAAAGGAGTTGAGTTTCCTAAGGAGGTGTAGCTGTTGGTGGCACCTCCTGAGAATCTCCTCTGTGTTGGCAGAATTTCAGGAGGTTGTCAAAGATGGTTACCAGGTATTTGTGCTCCTCAGCTACCTCCACTGGCTTCTTGTGGATGGTGGTGGTGACTGAAGCAGCCAGATCCCTCTGCCTGCTGGAGAAGGCCACCATCTCTTTGGTTTTGCTCACGTTATAACAGTCACAATGGTGTGGTGTCTCTCTTAATGTAACATAAGTTGAGGGTTTATGATGTCAGTAGTGTGCGCCACTGCCCTCCCTGTGATTCATGGAAGCAACGTGCTTGCACGCAAATACATGGAGAGAGACGGACTTTGTATGTTTTACCTCTCCAGAAACGTTTGCAACGTTACAGGTTGTATGAACACTGTCTGGCATGTTTGATAAGCAGCAGCCGTTCAACCAGGCCTTGTATAGTTGATGAAGAGAATGTGCATTAAAAGATACTGTCATGGTCCTGGGCCATTGACCCAGCGTTTTGTGTTTTATGATTATTTTCCTCTGTTCTAGTTATTCTGTGTCCTCCCCCCTTGTGTCCGGTTCGGGTTCTAGATTTCCTGTTTTATTCTGAAGGTCTCTTTCTGTTGTCATTGTGTTCAGCTTGTGTCCTCCAGTCATCATGTGTATTAGGATCAGCTGTTCTTCCCTCCTGTGTGTGATTACCTGATTACCTTGTGTGTGTATATTTAGTGGGTGTCGGTCTGTGTTTGTTGTCGGCTCGTCTGTGTTTCTCGGTGTAACTACGTCTCTCTGCATTCTCTGTTCTCCATCTCATGCTTAGGTTTGTCATTTAGTTTTCCCAGTTTAGATTTATGTTTCGGTTCTGCCCGCTTCTTGGTTATTACTCACTGTAAATAAATCTCACTTGCACCTCCACCACTGGCTGCTATTTGGATCCTCCTTCTCACCTCCACACGACTGCCACCCCAGCCGTGACAGATACGCTGTGGAATTCGCAGTACCAGTGTGATTGTGTATTCTTCCTACTTTACTGCTAAGGTTTCTACCGCCTCCTCTCAACCACTGAACACAACCCAACGTTACAACGTTCAGTTCCAGTTTGTAGCTGCCACACCACTCTACAAACTCCTGAAGATGTTGGGTGGTGCTGTGAGGTTTTTTTTTTTGCAAAGATAATAAGCAGACTAAAGGAAAAAATATATGAACTCAGTTCCACCACTATTAAAAAATAAAAATAATTACAGTGTCTGACTCGCATTCTGCTGCTGCAGTAATGTAAGTAAAATAATCAGAAATTCACTATTTCACTAAATGATTTAGATGAGAAAATATATATTTGACACATTTGAGGAAAATACTAATAAAATTAAATAAATAATATAAATGTTCCCTTTAGAAATCTTTTTTTTTTTGCTCTTTTTTACTCTTTAAAATAGTTGTTTTCTTTTTCAATCACTCATCTTAGCAGTAGGATTTACATGAAAAGAGAAACAAATTAAGTTTGAGTGAAAATGTACATTTTTTGCACTCTCTGGTCGACTGACTCAGTGACTCAAATGACTCAAAAAACCTGTTTCATTTTGGGGAGAGACTCATTAAAAGTCGATTCATTAAACAGAATCAAATTTACCATCACTAGTCAGGAACGACTCTTCTCCTCCTCCATTTTCTTCAGTTGGAGCTTATGGACGTATTGCCGCCCCCTTCAGGTAATTAATAGTATAAAATGAAATAAAACCCTGCGAGTTTGAAAAGCATTTATTAAAACAGTCAGGAACAACAAAAACAATGATTAACTGATTTAAATTCATCTATAACTCATTACTCCAACATAAATAAATAAATAGATGTGGTGTGACATCACTGAAGGGCCTCATCCCTCTGACATCACAGTGTTAGAGGAGTGAGGCCTCTCAGTGATGGACGTTATTGGAGTCCAGGACCTTCTGGGTCAGTAACCTTTGGTTTAACTTCCTGGTCCCAGCTCCAGGTTGTACAGGAGAACACTTTCAAGGTCCATTTTCAAGCTTTTCCATCAAAAGAATGTGAAAATTAAAACAAATCATCCTCGGTTGACTTAAACACCTTTGTTCCCCCTTTTGTTTAAACAGAGAAAAACAAACCACAGAAAAACACTGCAAAAGGAAAAGGTTGCATATAGTGTATAAACTCAAAACGCACATTTCACTTAAAAATTAAGATGTGCAAATGTAAACAAATCAGCTTGTTGGAGATATTCATCTTGTTGACCCCAATTCTTAGATTCCTGAAGTAGGTCGGACAATAACACACTTCACAACAGGTACCAGTTCACACAATTAGTTTATTTGTGTACAACCTCTCGAGAGTACTATGTGCACAGCGCGGGGCCCCCTGCAGATCTGAGGGCGTCCTCTTGTTACCATGGTTTTATACTTTCACCCTGTCCAAGTTGCACATCCTCTTTCAAGTGTCACATTACATAGATGCTGAACTTGATACACAATAACTTCAGCAAAACATCCTTATCTGTCCTTCATAGAAACCCTTCCCCACTCCTGTTTTCTTCTTCTTGCTAGCTAGGTGGTTGTTTACTGTTCTTGTGTTTTTGCAGCCAAGCGTGTGTGTGAAGCTCAAGATTACTATATATGGCCTTTATTCACTGCAGGGCCCTTGAGCAGCCTATCCTTCATTTAAGCACAGTAGTTCTAATCTATTAGTGATACATTTCATACAAACATGTCTGTATTATTGTTAAAGTCCTAAATTATGACCTTTAATGTGTTTGTGCTAATAACATCTGAATGTGTCCATTTGTTTGTTTGTTTTTTACAAAACAGGAACATTTGTTTGATTTTGTAGAGATAGAAATTTAACCTGGATCATCTAACTGTTAAGGTAAAATGCTTTATCCTCAAATCACAAATGAAAATAGTTACAGGGTATCCACTGTACTGATTGCATTTCTAATGTAGCAGCATATAGAGTCATCATCACTGATTTGAATCAATTTCTTTTTTTCATCCAACTTAACTCTGTTATTCACAAATAGTGTCAGTTTTTATTTTTTATTTCATCTTTTAGAAAACAGCAATGAGACATGTAAGGTTCCACCCTCTGGGTGAACATACAAACACGCACTGTACACAAACCTGATGAGTTTGTATCCACGTGGACCAATCAGAGGGGAGCTTTTACAGAGTACACTCTTCCTGTAATATGCCCAATGACGC